AAGGAAAATATTCAACACAGGACACATAATTTATAGGATTATTTTATAATATTTACCAAAAAGATCAAACACAAAAAGGTATGGGAGATATGTCCACAGACTATAGGGATCCAGAGAATCCAGCTAAGGATCTGGATCCTAAGGCAATATCTTCCACAAATCCTGAAAATATAGAGCCCAAAGCAATGTCTCATGCCATACTGTAGCAAGTATCTGCATTGGGAAAGCCCAAAGGTCAGTGATAGAAACCAGAAAGGGGTGAAGGATCTGTGCCAACAGGCTGAGGGATCTTCACTGTAGCCAGGGAAAAACACTCAAGGTAAGTACCAGAGCTCTCTCAAAAAGAACAGCAGCCATCTTCAACAACAGTGAGGACCTGAACTCCTCCAGTGATAAGAGCTGATTTCATATCAGGAAGACCAGCATGACAAGCTTCTCCAGGAGAATCAGTAGCATACTGTCTTCCAATTCTCCTCTCATGATGTTGGCAACAATCCTCAGGTGGGACATCCACACCCAGAACTATGCTGATTCAGTTTGGTTGACCATTAGTTCATGCTACAAGTGGTAAGTAGCAAGATGTAGTTCAAGGAACAAATGACAAGTGGTATACTGTACTTCAGAGAGGCTCAGAATCAGTAGGCATCAAGATATTGTAGAGAGCTTTTAAAAGAACGATATCCTACCTTTAGCCCCAGAGACTATGATTCTAGTCAGAAGTAGGTTGTGAGCATTAGTAATACTTTTATTGGCACAAATAACTGTATAAGATATTAGTACATATTAATTGTACAATTATTAATGCATCATATTTGTACAAAATATTAGTTCATTATATTTTCATGTATGTGATAGTCTGTTGTAATTTTTTTCAACTTTCCTGTTATGCTCTTTTATCTCTACAATCTTCGTTCCCTTTTCAATTCTTTAGTAGTCCCTGTTCTAATTTCATGTCCTCTTTTATTCCCCTAGATTCCTTATATGATAGAAATTCATAATAATTGTCTTTGAGTCTGACTTACTCTGTTTAACATGATGTCCTTCAGTTCCAACCATTGTCCTCCATGTGACTTTATTTCATTCTTCTTTAGGGCTTTATATTTACTTATTTTTCATTGATGGGTGCCTAGGCTGCTTCCATGTCTTGACTACTATGAACAGTGCTAAAATAAACATGGGTATACAGATTTTCTATAATATGTGGACTTTGATTTCTTTGGGCATATAACAAGATATTAATAATTTGTAAATAAAACTTTCATTCCAGCAATTTTCATGTATTGAGTAGGGAACATACTTCGTTTAAAGTAACTAGGTATCCCAAGAAAATACTTGTTTATTTATTTTTCAAAGAACATTTATACTTAAATAGTAAAACTCTCAACTTGAAAACTATGACATCTAGTATCTTGGAGATAAAAATTAAACCATACAACAAAGGAGAAAAGAAATATTGATGAGGCAAAATATCTATTGAGTAATACCTAAGGTTGAAAGATGACTGACTCGAAAAAAAAAAAAAAGACTGACTCTGTGCAGTACTTGAAGTTTGACTTCAGTCTCTGGATTACCAGTCAACACTGGATTCTTGGTCTTTCTGTGTGCTTCTGACCACATTTGGTGACTATGCGTTCCTCTCTCTTACACAGTCAGCCACTCCTAAGGACTCCGACCTCAGCTTTCCTCTTGATTGTTCTTTGAGGTGGAAGCAGGATGGGGTGTATTACAATCAGATACTTAGCCACAGCCTCCCTAATAATGTATTAAATACTACCATAGATACTGAGTAAGTGCCTACTGAAAAATCAACTGCACCTCTGTCTTTTTATCTCTTCACAAGATGAAAAGAGATTTTATTCACCACATATAAAACAATATAACCACACTGAAACCTCAGTTCCTTCTCCATATAAATAAGACAGAGCAGGCATCAGTGTGAAGCAGAAACAATGCAATGGAAAATGAGGAAAATTGTAAGTAGAATGTAACAGTATTTTGAAAGCAGACAACCCAAGTCAAGTTTCATAGTAATGAAAATGGCAAGTTCACAAAGAATGGATGAAAAGTGCGTATTAATGCATGTTTGTGGAAGGAGTAGGGAAAAGAGGAGACTGGGGAGAGCATCTTGAATCCACTTCAAAGTTGAGTGTCTGGGGAAAAAACATATCATGCCATCTAGTGGTAGAAAACAAGCTGATTACTTTTAATCAAACAAAACTTTTCTTTTCATTAGAAAACAGGCAAATTCATTATCATGGATCTTGATTTGGCAAATCACACAGTGGTTAAATTTTAAATTCCATGGCTATATTTTAGCTTTTTCATCAACCAATAACATTAAGAAGTAATGGTGAGGTTTAAGAGTCTGGGAGTCAGGTTAGGATGACTCTCATTTCTCTTTCTAACAGGTCATTAAATCTCTCTGCACTTAGTTTCTTCCATAAAGGGGCAGGACAGAAGAACTCTAGCTACTAGGTATAATACTCACAAATTCCTTGTTTCACAATACACGATGGGTCCATAATAGGACATCCCAAACTATTTGTTTCCTATAGATAGTAGCTATAAAGATACCAAAATATTACCGCCAGAATAAGTATACTCCTATCTATTGCAAACCCACGAACAATTTGATTTAGTAGAAGTTTATAGAGTGTTCCACCCATCGACATTAAAATACATATTCTTCTCAGCTGCACATGGGACATTCTCTAAAATAGACCACATAGTAGTCTACAGAACATGTTTAAGTAAATGAAAAGGAATTGAAATTATCTTTTGAATATTATCTGATCATAGTGCAATGAAATTGGAAACTAATAGCAAAAGAAACTGCAAAAGCTCCATAAACACACAGAAATTAAATAACACATTTCTGAACAAATAATGGGTTGTGGGCAACATTTAAAAAGAAATTGAACAATATCTACTGCTAAACAAAAATGCAGATACAACATACTGGAACCTGTGTGACACAAATAAATAAGGCAGTCCTAAGAAGGAAGTTTATAGTGGTGAATTCTCACATCAGAAAAACAGAACAAGCATAAATAAACAACGAAAAGTTGTACCTAAAGCTTCTAGAAAAAGAAGAGCAAGTCAAGCCCAAATCCCATACAAAGGAGGAAATTATAAAGATCAGAACAGCAACTAATACAATGGAAACTAAGAAAACAATACAAAAATGATTTAAAAAGTTTATTCTTTGAAAAAGAATAAATAGAATTAATAAATCCCTAGTTAACCTTGTCAGAAAAAAGGAAAGAAAAAACACAAATTCATGCAATGGATAATCAAAAGGGTGAAATCACTACAGACCTTGTGGAAATTCAGATCACCAATACTTACTTCAATAATCTTTACTCATGTAGAAGGGAAAATAGAGGAGAATGGACAGAGTCCTAGATATGTATGAACTACCAAGGTGAATATGTAATTAAAAACTTACAACAGAAAATTCTGGATCTTGATAGATTCACAGCTGGACTCCACAAGAAATTTAGAGGATTTAATTCCAATACTCTTCAAACTCTTCAATGAAATTCAAAGGGAAGTGACAGGCTGGTGAGTTAGCTCAGTGGTCTAAAGCACCTGCTTAGGTAAGGTTAGGCAAGCACAGGGACTGCAATTCAATCCTTGGCACCACATGCTGCACCAGCCCCACCCCCAGGGCAGGCTAAGCCAGTCAAAAAAAGAAAAGAAAAGAAAAAGAAAGAGAAGCACTACTCCTTAACTCATTCTTGGAGGCAAGTGTTACTCTGACACTAAAGTCAGAGAAAGACTCAAACGAAAAGAGAGCTACAGGCCAATCTCCTTAATGAACATAGATGCAAAAATCCTCAATACAGTACTAGAAAACAGAATGCAGAAAATTGTCAAGAAGATTATACACCATGATAAAGTGGGATTCATCTGGGAATGCAAGGATAAGTATTTGTACGTTTACTCAAATCAATAAATGTACTACAGCATATCAACAGAGCTAAAGACAAAAGCCAGATAATCAACCCAATAGATGCACTAAAAAGCATTTGACAAAGCCCATCATTCATTCATGACAGAATCCATACAGAAAGTTGGAATAGAAGGTCTTTTTCTCAATGATGGCCAATCTGATATAGGCCATCAATGACATACCAACAGCCAGTATCATATTAAATGGACAAAGCCTGAAAACTTTTGCTCTAGTATCAGAAACAAGACAAGAATGACCACTATCACTGTTTCTATTAAATATAATTCTGGAAAAATTAGCCAAACCAATTAGATGAGAAAGAGAAAGAGAGAGAAGAGAGAGAGAGAGAGACAGAGTGAGACAGAGACAAAGAGAGACACAGACACAGACACAGACACAGACACAGACACAGACACAGACACAGACACAGACACAGAGAAGAGAATAAGAATAGGAAGATATGGAAAGAATAAGTTAAATTATCATTAATCACAGATAGCAAGATACTCAACATACAAGATTCCAAAAACTCAATGAAAAGACTTATTGATTTAACAAGCAAATTCAGTAGTGTAGCTGGATACAAAATGAGGATTCAAAAATCAATTGCATTCCTGTACACAAACAACAAACTCACTAAGAGAGAAATTAGGGAAACCACACATTTCATAATAGTATCTGAAAACATGAGATACTTAGGAATCAATCTAATAAAGGAAGCAAAAGATCTGCATATTGAAAATTACAGTACCCTGCAAAAGGAGACTGAAGAGGATATCGGAAAATGTAAATACATTCCTTCTTTGTGGATAAGAAAACCCACCATAATGAAAATGGCCATATTCCCAATTTTTGAACAGATTTAATGCAATCTCAGTCAACATATCATTTGGATACCTCACAGATCTAGAGAAAACATTCCCAAATTTCATTTGGAAAAAGAAGTGACGGTAAAACAAATGCAATCACAGAAGATAAGGCAGAGACATCACAATCCCTGACTTGAAATTATACTGTAAAACTACTTTGATAAAACCAGATTGGTTGCACTGTATGGTATCTACACTCAACAGTTATTCCTGCTAGTGTGTTCAAAAGACAGTGCCATAGAAATTTGTCTGGCATCATTGGTTTTCATGTCTCTGTGCATGTTAAACCTGGTATTTCTATTAACACATTACTTTATGTCTTAAGTTTATTCATTTTAGCACAGAATCTTCTATGCAGTGATTATTTTTTTCTTAATTTACGGTGTCAGACTAAGGCAGATCTATCTACCATAAATTTAAGGCATTTTTGTCCCTTATTTTCCTCTAGCAGAATAAACTGCATACAGATGGGGAAGCCTTACATATGAATAAGCTCCAAAGGAGCTTTCTTGAAGCCTCATTCTGGATTAGAATGGGCACAGTTGATTGGTGTCCAGAATTGGTCAATGTGGCTAAACTGAGACACAGGTCATGCTTCCATTACAGTAAATATTTACAGTGGTGACAATGAGGCCTGTAACATTTTGTAAAAAAATGGAAAAAAAATCAGATTGGTTCTGGCAAAACAAAACAAAACACAGACCTGAGGATCAGGGGAACAGATTAGAAGATGCAGATATGACTATAAACATACCCAGTCATTTTATCTTTGACAATTGACCAAACATGTTCACTAGGAGAAGGGCTAGAAAAAATGGATTTCTGCATGCCAAAGAGAAAAAACAACAACAAAAAAACCAACCATGTCTATCTCCTTGAACTAAAATAAAATCCAAGTGGATTAGAAAGCTAAATGTTAATATAGAAACACAAAGTCTACTGAAAGACAAAGTAGGTAGACAAGTTGAAGACATAGATATAGGCAGAAACTTCATAAACAAAACCCAGACCACATGGGAAACACTACAAAGAAGCAACAAATGGAATTAGCATCTTATTAAAAAGCTTTTGTACAACAAAAAAAAAATTACCAACAGAGTATAAAAACCCACAGAATGAGAAAATTTTTAGTCACTTGTGCCACAAAGGACTTATATCTAGAACATATGAAGAATAAAAAGCTCATACCTCCCAAATTCAAAGATTCACTCCAAATATGTCTATCTGAGATGACTGCACACTTCTCAGATGGAGAAATACAAATACAAATAAATGTATGCAAAAATGCTTAACCTCATTGATCATTGAAGGAATTTATAATAAAACAACATTGAGATTCCATTTCACTTCAGAAAGAATGGCTATCATAAAGAAATCAACAAAACAAATGGGGGAGGGGCCATGGCGAAAAAGAAAACCTCTTTTGGTGTAAGAACAGACTCGTGCAACCACAATATAAATCACTATGGAGATTCCTCCAAAAGCTAGGGCTAGAGGTACAATTTATGGAGGACCTCCTGGGCAATTCTCCTTGAAAGAAGAGCAGTTGACTCCATTTTGGCTGAGCTTGACCCTATTTCCATGCATTGACATGCACAGAGCTGTCTAGGACTTTTCCTTATCCCTTCCATTGGCTTTAGGCAATGCATATCAGTCTAGCTGAGGTGCTGATGGCAGTCTTTGAAGACAGCAGGTGTGTTTCCCCTGAAACCCCCACCTGCTGCTTTTTAATGTGAGCTGGGTCTAGATGAGAGAAAGAGCAGGTGCTCCACACTGTCAGCTGGGATTGAGCCTGGAGATAGAGGTTGTGACTTCTGGGGCTTGAAAGATCGCACATCAGAGCAGAAGCACCAACCCTCAAACACGAAGGATACTATCTCAGTTGTGTAATGCAGATTAGTCTCTGTATATTCTTCTCTCTGCATATTGCAGCAGTAAATACACTCCTACCTAGTCCAGCTCATGACACTCACCTACTTCCTACTATTGTCAGTAACTCATCCTCAAGCCACTCTTCCTTCATGACTGAATAAAACCCAGGTTTGGCCCTGGGTCTAGGCCTTTGTTCCAGATAGCCATTACCACGGCTGGACTTAGGACTCCTTAGCTTCCCATGACTATAAATATGCTTTAGTGCCTTTGTCATGGGTTGCACTGGAAGTGGTAGATTGGAATTAACTTGATGGGATTCCGATAAATTATCTATGGGATTGCAAATATAAACTTCCTTGACCAAGATGAAGGGATATCTTCTAAGAAGAATTGTAAACATACCACAACAATATACATGCACCCATGTTTATAGCAGCACAATTTCTATAGATAAACCTGAGAAACAACCCAAAGGAATGGGTAAAAAAAGATACAGTCTTTTTATACAATGGAGCACTACTTGGCCCTAAGACTTAGGTAAGTGGATGAGACATGAGGTCATACTCATAATGAAATAAGTCAGACTCACACAGCATGAGAAATTGAAAGTGTAAATAAGGTCTAAAATTGAGTAAGTTGAATAAGTTTCAGAATGAAAAGTACATATGTTATCATGTTATAAGCACATAGTGACTGGGAGTTAGTCTTGCAGGGAATATTGCTCCCATTCCTCTGATGAGAATTCATGAATAGAAAACATTTTTGTTATAGTTTTATCACTTTATTTATTTGTTTGTTCAATTATTTTATCTACTCCAGACATAATTGAGGCCTCCAACCTTCCCTCTAGATTTGTTTACAAATATATCAAACACTTCATTTTATTCTCTAGCACCTTATAATATTTCCATTTTCTGTTTAAGCATTCATTTCCTTATATATTCACTTGTCTTTCTCTTTCATCATTATGGTAATTACAGGAGAGAGAGAACTTTTCTTAAACTTAGAACTTACAGCTACAACTAGCACATAGTGGGCACTCACAAAGCCTTTATTAAACTGAATGCACTGTGTTAATTCAAACAGAAAATGTTATTCATAATAAAATAAGATACATGTTTATGAGATTGAACCCAGAGCCTTCACAATGAGCTGTATATCTAGCACCACTTTAGATTTATTTTTGTTTTGAGATAAAATCTCCTGAAGTGGCTAAATCTATGCTGGGCTTGAACTTTCCATCTTCCTCCTATATAAAGCCAGCCAGCCATGAATGTATGGGTCTTGCTTTTCTCCTGCCTCAGCCTCTGTTGTGCTCGCCTTACAACTGTGTACTTCCATGCCTCGCTTCTAGGATCAGATGCTTCTGTTATCCTCTTATCTTTTAAGGAGAAGTATATTTTCAACAGCAGACCTTTGTAAATGAAGCAATCTCTCCATTCCATTTTTTTGTTTTTTGTTTGTTTTGTTTTGTTTTGTTTCTTGGCTGGCTCAGGCTGCCTAAAGGGTGGTCTGGTAATGCAGGTGGAGGTGGGAATCGAACACGTGGTATCCTGCGACTGACTACATTTGCATGAGCAGGAGCTTAAACAACTGAGCTAATGGGCAGCCCTCCCTTCATTCCATTTGTAATTACTGGAAAATATCTTTTTCCTCAGTTTTCAGAGTGTACGTGGCAAAGTTCTCTGCTGATTATTACTGAACAGTTGTGCTAACTAGGAAAGGATGAGGAATTTGCCTTACATGAGCTCAGAGGCAAGGATCAGCGGAAGTTCTTTGCCTCATTTTCAGGATATTCTGGGCCAGAATAAAACCTTGTAAGCTGCATGTGTTCGATTTCTTCTCTTCATTCATAGAAAACAGATGACATTTAGCCCAATACATTTGGAAAGCAAACAATTAGAATTTTTAAAATTAAGCTGAGAAAGATACAGTTTTACTGTTGTTGATGTTCTAACTCTGCAAGTAGTTCACTTGGGACAACTATCAAAGAACAACCTAAGAGTATTCCAGAAAAAATAATTGATCTAGTCCTATAAATGGAGCCGACAATGAAAGCCTCGAGACTCCTTGACTCGTTGCTCAACAAAAGCCAGGATTCTGGAAGGAGGGATGAGGGTGAATGGGCAGAAAAAACATGAGAGCTGACTACAAGACTTCTATTTGAAGCTAATTCTATCTGAAATAAGCTCTGTCACAGAGAAATACTTGGCAGAATCAACTCAATCTCATGCATCTTTACAGTAGGTGAATGTTAAGATTGTTTTTCAGGAAGGTCACCATTCTAGATTTTAAAAAAAAGGAATCTACAGCTAGGAAGACTGGTTTGTCCAAGGTCACAGTGGAAGTGAAGGACAAAACAGTACCCTGTATGAGCTTGGCCAGACTCCGGGTTCCTGGATTAGCTACTCCATCATAGGTTACTTTCTATGCTGCACTAGAGATGTGGTTTGCAAACATGCCTGTTTATATTTTCTGTTTGTTTATGTGAGAAGGAATGCAGTTTCACTCCAGATAATTTACAAAGTGCTCAAATAGTGTTAGAGTATTACTGATAACACAAAGAATGTTTTAGAAGGGTCCCAATAAAATATTTTTCAGTCAAGGATTTATTTTTGCCATTTTTTTTTCACTGAAAGGCCAAGAGTCCCTTTCTCTGGGGACCCAAATTTTTAGGGGTCACTTAATGGTCCTGCCTGGATAGCTCACAGACCTCAAGCTTGATGAGTGTGGAACCAAACACTCATTTTCTCTTACCCAATTAAACGGCTTCTTCCTCCTTCCTTTATTCTTTTTTTTTCAAAGATTTATTGATAAACAGCAATGAGACAGTTTCAAATCAAATCGGAAGTACAGTTTCAAAAAATAATACACTACATATATTCTTCTTAGTGGTTAATTGCTGTACAAGACGCAGACTTGTGATCCTATTTACAAACACCATTAGAACAAATCATTCTATTCATTAAGAGAATGCAACTATATA